CTAACTGTGGATTTTTAATGACTCATCTTGCAGTTGGCCACTGCACTTTGTTTTAAAGATGACTTTAAAGGTGGTGCTGCCAACTTTGTTAGTTTAATGATCAGTTCCTTGTGATCTGGACCCAACTGTTGCCACCTTCAAGCTCTCTACTTGATCAACCCGCCCATTCTTCTCTAAGCACCCTCAAACTTTGTTCACGGGACTCAGGTGGCCGCTAGTCACAGGAAGGACTTCTAACTTTTTAAAACCATTATTATCTTGCAGGAGCAAAGCATTTCTCAAGCTGTCAAATAACCAGCTTGCTCTTGAGTGTCAACTACGAATTTCTTACATCCATGTTCATATTACATCTCCACTGCACCTGCTCCACATCTGCCACCCCTGCTGTGCCCTGGTGATGTGGAGATGTAGAAGCAATCTGCAAGAATAATAAAGATTCTGCATCAAAGAGCCTGGGATATTACTGGGTTTATAATCCTTCTGTGCACATCATCAGTGAAACTTCAAGTTATATGTTTTATAGTCTACCTTAATTATCAAGCTATTACAGAGCATGCACTGTTTCCCCAGTGCTATTTTAAATTCCCAACTGTGGATTTCTTTTTTTTTTATTTCTAGAAATCCACCACACAAATGCTGCTGAGAAAACAACATGCAGGGGTTAAGCTGTCTTATGTCCCCTTCTCCTTGCCAGCTTCCTACTAACACAGACATTTATGCCAGGAAAAAGGCAAAGCTCTCTAGTTTCAGCAGTGCCATGTGGTCTGTCTGGGCCCCATCGTCAGAGCCATGTGCAGAGCCCGGCTGAGCTCAAGTGACTCCTGCAGGTCAAAGCTCTGGCCAGAGAAGGCTGAGGCAATGCTGTCCTGGTGGGTGATGCAACCACAGGCTCTGAGAGGGCTGTATTTCTTACTGCAAACATCTGCCTGTCACTTGGCATTTGAACGTGCAGTTGGAGGCTGCTGGTAGGTGCCTGTGTCACGGTAATGACTGTGACTGGCTTTTTCCATCCCTGAGCAGGAGATGGTTCTGACATTTGGTTTGAGAGCAGCTTTGAAGCCACTGAGTTCCTCTGCTTGAGAGCAGGCAGTGAGGATGAATGCTGCATAAGGCTGTGTTTCAGAGCAGCCCAGCAATTAACCAGGCAGTGTTGTGCAGCTCTGCTGACTGATGCTGCTAAAGCTGCGTATAGCAGCACATCCTGCCCTGCCAGAGGCTGCTGCAGCCTTGGAAGTGAGCAGAGACAGTTCAGCACTGCCCTGCATGCTATGCTGTTACAGAGGCGTTGGATCTGGGCCTCATTTCTTTGAGCCTCTTCTCCCTTCTGCCCATAGCTTCACATGGAGCCCAGGGAACACCCAACACTGCTATTTCAGTGTCTGCTCTTTGCTGCTTTCCCCCTCTTTTCAGGTGGAAGCCAGTGGAGAAATGGTTCTCACTGGAGTTGCCATAAAGAAAATGTGTGCCAAATCCAGGGCAGCAGCTGAAGAAGACAATGCAATGCTGTAACACTGTGCCATGATGCAAAGACCAACACTCACATGGAATACTGTTTTCAGACCTGACCACTGTGCCAGAGTGGCTGTAATGTCTTTGGCATTTCTCCTGCAGATTGTCAGAGATTTGGAGCTACTGCTTTATTATAAGCAGGGGATGGTTTAGCCTAGGAATAGGTTTGTAAGGAAAAGCATAAGAGGGCATTAGTCATTGATGCAGCATAAAGGTATTCTCTTCTGCATATGAAGAATTACAAACTAGAACAGAAGCAATAAACTTTTCTTCCCTTCCCTACACTACACTGACAAAAGGAAAGAAAACTATGAGAATTACATTGTATCTTGAAATTCTTCGGTAACTTTAAGGCCTCTTTCAAACACAGAGGAGAGCTGACTAATGAGAGCCCAGTACCACTAGTTCCCATATTTTCCAACCAGTTAAACAGCTGAGAGCTGGGCTGTCAGCAGCAGTAGCTCAGTGCCAGCCCAGCGTCTTGTGTCACTTCCAAAGGACAGGCTGTAGAGCAGGGCAGGCTGATGGGAAAAGTGCTAATAAGCGGGGCATCTGCAAGCTTGCCTCCAGTTTCTGGGGAGTGCCCTAGCCAGAGTCACCAGGATGTCCACTCTGGACAGACTCCCACACTGGTCAGACCCCATTCAAGATTAAATTTAAGGCACTGCTGGAGCTGCAGAAACAAAACCCAGTGGTGTTGCCTGTGTGTTGGTGTATCCTCTTTAGTCACGGCACAGGACAGAGCAGTGGTGTCCTGCTGGGACAGTGGCCCAAACACCAGCATGAACTCATTCAGCCGTCAGACACATATTTATTCGAGGAAGAGAACTAAAGGCCCCCAAGGACTCCTTTGCCCACCCATCTTAAATAACTTTCTTGCATCACAGGGCCAGCCCTCCTCCCAGTGGCCCTGGGACACCTGATGCTGCCTCCTAAGGGTCTGTTGGCTGAAGAAAGGGCAGAGAGCTGATGGGTTTGTTATTGCATTCATCCAGCCCTACTTGGAGCCACATGCTGCCAGCAGTTTGTTCAGCATCTCCTGATGGCAGCTCTGATGATGAACTGGACCCTAATTTCCATTTGTTGAGAGCAACAAGTCACTGTCAGGGAGTGAGGTGGGCCTGGTGACAGTGGCTGGGTTTGGCTAGGAGTCCCAATCACCAGATCACCAGAGCAGTCTGCAGTGATGAGGTGGATCTGAGGAGGAGCTGGGAAGCCCAGGAACAGGATCAGCTCCATGGTTGACTGCCAGGACAGCTGCAGCGTAGCTCGAGCAAGGAGCAGGGCTGACAGCCTGGACTTAAATACAGCTCTTGTGCCGGGGGACAGTCACACATAGCAGATGTTTAGTCCCCTGTGCTGGCTTTGGCAGATCTGTGGGGTGTTGACGGCTCCTTCTGCAATGGCTGGCGTATGGGATGTGCCTTCCCAGCCTTTCTAGCAAAATTCTGCTTTTACTGCCAAAATTAATCCCATGTAAGTGTGAGAGACAGGGCACACTGCCTGGGGGTCATGGAGGGAGGTGATGTGGCTTTGCTTTGCTTCAGCACAGAAGGGGGGATATGTGTGTGGGGAGGGTAACAGGGAAGCAAAGGAGTTCCAGGGTGTCCCACAGAAACCCCATGACTTGCTGTGGCCCCCCCCTCCCGCCCCAGTTGCCTTTGTTTTCATTGCAGAAGCTTGGAGATTTAAAAAAAAAAAAAAGGGTGGGATGTGAAGAGAAAAACTAATATGATTAAGGCAGGATTTGGGCACTGGCAGAGAGCTGCTGTGGGTGGTGGGTATTAGGAGTAACAGCTGCTGTGCTTTCCATTAGAGGAGGGAGAGAAGGTCCCTGAAAGGATGGGTCTCCAGCGGGCTGGGAGGGCAGTAGCGGCAGCGAGCCCGGCAGCGCTCGTGTCCCAAGGTAAGCGATGGCGGCACCGGGCAGCCCTGGGGAGCAGAGCATTGCTCCCCTGCTGTGACGGGCACAGGAGGGCAGCTGAGGGTGGGACAGGGAAAGGTGGCACGGCCTGGGAAACACCCGAGGGGAAGAGTTGCATCTCAGGGGTACTTCCACAAGCCCCTGTGAGAAATCTTATCCAGTAAGGGAGGTTTATGTGTGCCCAGAGGAGAGGCTGGCTCCGGGAGGAGGAGGCATCCTGCCGCTGGTCCAGCAGGGGCTGGAATAGTTAGCAAAGGCTCCTATGACTCCCACAAGCATCTTCTGGCATGTAACTGGTTGGAGTGGCAGGATGCTTGGGCTATGGAAGGTTAAACTGCATCCATCTGCGTGCTGCTTCAGTCCAGGCACGAACAGTTTCATGTGCTGTGGTGGTTTGTTAGTCAGCTGGCAAGTTTCAGAAGTGCTAGAGGGGGAGGTGTAAGCTAGACCTCCTCAGCCTCGGATTTCCTCTGATTCATTTACATCTACCTGTTGACTAAGTGTAACGAAATCTAAGGCATGAAAAGCTGCATGTTGGAAAGAAGATGTTAGAAAGCACTATATTAAAATCTGAACCACCTGCCTTACGATATCCACTACAATAAATACCCCATACTCGTCCTTCAGCTTCACTTTCAAAAGTGCATTTTGAAAAATCAGAATAACATAATACTCCAGTTAATCTGGAAATGTGTTTTATGCTAGCCAACAAAGCTGTGAGGTACTGAAGACACAGCATACCAAATATTAAACTTGAACTGTGTCGAGAAAAAAATGCTAGTTTGGATTAAAAATTTGAGAATAAGGAGAAATCCTGGTAATAGCCAAAACTGCTAGCAAGTTATCTTAGGGTTCCGACTCTGACTTTACAGACAGCATCACTACTGTGTCTTCAGCTACAGCAAGCCCTGATTGAGAAGGACAAGCCTAAATGCTACTGGGTGGCCAGACAGGGGTCCAATGGTCACAACCAGCCCAGTGTGAGGGGCAGCTACGTACTGTCAGTGCGGGGACATGGCTGTGAGATGGCAGGCAGGGAGAGGCTCTGCTCTGGGCACCAGCCCCACATGCAATGGAGGTCTGCAGCAGCTCTGCAGCTCTAAGGAGAGATGTTTTCCCCATTGATCAGGTTGTACGTTTGGGCTGGGAATGGTGCTGTGTGCTGAGCGTGGCCATACAGAGCCTTCTCCTCCTCCTAAAGCCCACAAGACTTTTTAGAGTAAATCTTCCTTGACTGCTCCCTCCATGGGCAACTTCACAAGAAATACATCCTCCTGTGGGGCCTCTTCCCTTCCAGCCTCAACAATTACTTCAGGATGTGAATGCTGTGGATTCAAAAGTCTCTCCAGGTGCCTCAAAGATAATTTATTTTCCTTTGTTTAAACCCTGTGGGAACGGCGGTTCTGCAGATCAGCTAAATCAATGGCACCAGACGGGCTCACAGGCTGCTGAAGCCACTGCTTTGAAGTGAACCTCCACATTGTTTTCTGCTGTAGGATGGAGGATGGCAGGAGAGCCCACACTGCCATTGCTGGCTGGGCATGCACCACCCTGTGCTTGGTCTCCTGCGTGGCCGCCTTCTCGCACGGCGCGAGCCTTTCTGCCTGCGCCGACATGATGCCCAGGCACCTCAGAGTGCAGCTGCACAGCCCCAACAGCAACTACGTCACTGTCCACACCAACATGTCCTTCTACTTCCCAGGTGACAAGGTTCCAGGTAAGGAACAGCTTCCTGCCTCTGAAAAATACATGATAACTCATCTCAAGTGATGGCATGAATCTTTGTGAGGTCAGGGAAGAGGGATAACTGGTCTGAGTGAGCTACATCACCTCTCTCATCATGAGGAAATTAATGTATTTACAGAGGAATTCTGTTTGCAGCACTTGGCCTAAGGTTTCTCAGGTGATGGTTGACTCCAGGTTTTCACCATGTTGAAAACCAACTGTTTGTTGGAGGCAGCTGGTAGGTTTGGGTGCTTTGGGGGGGATTTATTTATCTGTCTCAACTGTATCTTAACCATACCAGACCTCATTACATGCAGTGGCACAAGAGGCACTTCCAGAGGGTATAGTCACCTTCGCTGCTCCTCTGCACCACACAAAGGGGTCTGGGTGACTCACCTGACTCTTAGGCACAGTTGGCAGCGTGTCCTGTTCCCATCATCACTGGTCCTGAGGTGTTTTCAGTGTTGTTGCCCAAGGTTTTCTTTTGGTTTCAGTGCTATCACTGGAAAATCCATTGCAGACAATTAACTCCATAACTACTAGACAAATCCCTTCTGTCCCATGTTTTGTCTTCCAGTGACAGTGAGGAGCACCCGGGATTATATGGGCTTTATGCTCCAAGCTCGCAAAGTGTCCAACAACGAAATCACTGGCACGTTCATCTTCATGCCTCCTGGTTCCAAGCTGCTGACTTGTTTTGAAGATGGGGACACTGTCACCCACTCGGACAAGTCACTGAAAAGAAACCTGTCCTTTGTATGGAAAGCACCAGACCAACCCATTGGAGACATCAAGTTTTTGTAAGGATGTGCTGGTTCCTAACCAGAATTTGTGTCCTCTCAGTTTAAAGGCTTGGCTTTATTTTTCCATCATACTTGTCCAGCAAAGTGGTTTATGTATCTTGAACCCAATACAGCTAAATACTTACCAAATGCTGCAACAGTATCCCAGCTGGCACATAAATCACCATTAATATCTGCTGGGTAGTGCTGCTTTTTATTTACATGGTCACTATTTTCTCAGAACAAATACACTGGAAGATGACAGCCTGGGCATTTAGGAAATAGAAATATTAAGGCATAAAGACAGAACTGTGACCATATTGCCTGTCTTTGTAAATAACACAGCCCACAGGACTTCCCTGCCTAGAGGATAATCTTGTATATGACCTCTAAAAAATAATTAAAAATTAGTAGTTTTAAAAACAGTAAAATGTAAATAGAACTATTCACATTGAAAAGAGAGTGAGCACTGTGTCAAAACTTGACATGTCTGTTTTGTACCAAAGTCCCAAACTCTTCAAGTAGTTTGGTTGTGATTCGGAATGAAATAAAAAGTCTTCTAACTGACTGTCTTAGAGGAAGCACAGCAGCTATTAATTTTGAAAGAGATTAAATTGTTATTTTTTGACTTTACAAAACCACTTAGAAGCTGCTTGGCCAGATCCTTGGCTGCTTCCCAAAACATAAGCATCCTGGTGAGTGCTGTGACTTGTGCACCTCATGGTGATTCAATAAAAATTCATTGAAACAGAAATATTGCTGCTTGGAATTTCCAATTTTTGGCCATTGTTTTAAATCAGAAAATACTATTAAAGCCACATAAAGCTCAAGCAACCAAATAAACTCAAACAAAACCCAACAACACCTAGTCCTAGACATCTGTTCTGATAACGTCCTTTGCCCTCTGGCTTTTCACCCTCCAAGATGACTTCTGATAGCTTCTCCCTTTTTGCCCTATCACAGCATCTGGAAAAACTCCTTGTTAGGCTTAAAAATACCTTGTAAGAATCATCTGGCACAGGAAAATCCAAACTGGTTTCCCCTTAGCTAACTCTCAGAAGCAGCTGAGCAATCCGAGCTGAAATTCTCCCAAAATCTTCAGTTTAAATAAGGCTCTCTGGGTGAACAGTTAAAGGTTGGCCAATGCAGTTTTGGCACCTGACAAAAAGCAGAGGATTAGGCAGGCTCAAATATCAGAGGGCTGAGAAGAGAGACTTTTTTTGCCCTTACCTATTCTGCTGTTTGTACAAGTTACATTGACTTGTTTTAATTAGTAAATACCACTGTTGTTTCCCTGCCTACGGAAGATTATAAACTGAGCTAGTCCAAGTTTTACAAATGTACTTCTATTAACACGGTGAATGTAATAGAGCTTTTCTTATTTCTCTTTATTTAAGTTCCCACACATTTTTAGCTGATCTTAATTATGGGTGGTGATTCTTCACCCCGAATCTTTCTTATGAGACCGGGTATCTTTCATTTGTAATAGAAAATGTATGACAGGCTAATCCTTTAAAATACTTTAAAATACTCTCTTCAGATTAAAGCAGTCTTTGTGTTTTATTAATGCTACAGAGCAAATAAATTCTTGCCTAATTATGTTTTAACAGCATCTCCATAGTCCAGTCATACTTTGTTTACTGGGCAAAGATTGAATCTGCTATCGTGGCTCAAGGGGGGCAAAACAAGACGCTTGCTGGCAGTAGCAAGAAGCCCGACGCCGCAGCCCCTGTGCCCTCGCAGGGACCAGATGACACACACCCCACAGGAACAGCGAGCAAAGGTATGGGTTGGCTTCCTGCAGAGTAGTTTTACAGCTTATTCTGGGCAAGCATTTGACACAAGTGACCCAAACAAGCTGGGGGGACCCGTTTTAACTCCTGTGGCCACCAAGGAGATCAGTGATGGCTGTGGTGAGCTCCTTGAAGTGAGGGCATGGGCCAGCACTTGAAGTGATGGAGCCAGTTCCAAGGAGAGTACTGGAAAGTTAAACAGGGTTGCCAGATCTTATGATTCAATGCAAACCCTAACGTACAACATACTTCACCTAAAATTCCAGCTTTTGAAGATAAGGAAGTGCAATTTGCAATGTTGTCTAAGCAGAGGAACATATTTGTCTCTAAATGTGACTATTGCTCCTCAGGTATATATTTAGTTGTACTTATGCAGCCTTTGGTTAGTAAGAAGCTCCATGAATTTACTTAAACCCAAAGCAGATGTATTTCTCAGCATTTTTGTCATGGCAGTAAGACTGAGTTTTAGTTATTTTACTTGACCATAACATAAGGCAGAGAGCTTTGCTGCTTTAATTTTCATCTGGGTTCCCTCTTAAAAACAAGTGACATGAAAATAAAAGAGTCGCTATTACAAACCTTCCTGGCAAGTGTTGGCACCGAGTGGGATTTGAAATAAACAAACCGAAGACAAGAGACTTCTGCTCCTCTCTCCCTGCTCTTTGTTTTGTCTCCCTGTTGGAAAAGGTCCCACCTCTCCTGCAGGCTCCCCCCTGCGCACTCCAGCACTGCCTGCCAGCCCCACTGGCATCGTGGCAACACCAGCACCAGAGCCAGGTTTTGGTGTCGGGTCAGATGCCCGTCCCATTGCTGAGCCAAAGCAGCCGGCACGGACTTCACGGGCTGTGTCCGGTGGGAGCATCAGGTCCAGAGGCCGGGCACTGGAGCCATCCTTTCCCACCCAAGAAGTGGGCACAGTGGATGCCTTGCAAGGTTTCCTCTCCCAGAACAATGCATCCAGCTTCAACACCTCCAACGGGTAAACTCGGTGGTGGGAAGAGCTATTTCTCCAGTCCTTATAGGGAGGGAAAATAGTACTAGTTTCCCTGCAGATGAACAAGGGTCTATGTAGGAAGGTGTCTGCGGCTGAGGGGGAGGCAAGATGGTGTTTGCTTGCTGGGATTTTGAGACATAATCCTTTGGATATTGCACAAGACAGACAGTGACAGGGAGAAAATCCAAAACTCATAAGAACCCAACGCTACACTGCTCAGCCCAGTGGAGGACTGGCCAAGTGGCAGAAAAATGTGGCAGAAAAAGTGCCAAGTGGCAGAAAAATGTGATAAAAACTATTGGCTGCCAGAATATTTCTCTGAAAGTGCATGCAGATATTCAATGAAACAGTGAACTCAGCAGACCTATTTGTCCATCTGCAGGGAAAAGGAAAAAAGGATACAAAGCAATTATGAAATTTGGGCTTGAGGTTGTCTGCTCAGAAGTCTTAGGGGGTTTGGGCTACATGAACTTTCATGCCACATTTCATCCTGTAGGTGAAAATGATGGGGATAGGAATAAATGATCAGGCATTATTAAAAATACAGCCCGTGTGGTCTGTGTTGACTGCATGTGTCCCAAAAATGCTCTAAGGAACGGCACACTTCTTGGTGGTGTGAGAAACAGGGATTCCCATGTGAGCCATGGTGACAGGTCTCACTTACTAACCCTGCCTTTCCTCTGTCCATATCTTAGAGCAGGAAGCAATGCCAGTGCTGCCACCCCACGCTTGTGTTTGACGTGTACAGACCACAGGCAGGTAAGCGGTGAGGTCAGGGAGGACACCTCCTCCAAGGACAGAAAAGTCTAAGAGAAGATTGAGGATAAAACGTCTCTACTGCATCACAGCACCAAGCAGCCCACATAGCTAAGTGGCTAAAACTACGTTGAGCCTGTTAAAAGTTTTAATTTTTTTACTTTAAGTGGAAATTAGTTTTCATATCTCTTTGTAGGCATTTTTTTTTTTTGAGCCCATTGCCTGGGTTTTTAACAGTCTCACTGTAAAACCAATCTAAACCAGCTTTCCTGTATGTGGACATGACTACTGGGTGTTACCGGGCTGGAAATGTGTGTTTTATTCCTGTGGAAGGCTGAGATGTTCCTTTCCAGGGGTGCTGGATAGATACCACCCAAGAAATCCACCAGAGGTCGAAGACTTAATTTTTCCCAGGGATGGCCAAAGAAGGTCTGTGCTTTCTGAGGCTGGATAGGTCAGAAAGGCAGACGTGGTGGTGGTGGGGTTAGCCACAGGCATGGGGTGCACTCGCCAGAGACTGCTAGGAACTAGGAGGGCATCTGAGGAATTAAGTGGAGAACAGAGGAAGGAGAGAAACCAGAGAATACCAGGGCTGCAGAGACAGAGAAAGATGCTCAGATGGGAACTAGTGGAGAAGCTGGAAAGCGTGGATAGCTTAGAGACACAGGGTACAGTGTTAACAGTGGAAGTCCACAGAAGATGGAGAGAAGAAAAATACGAAGAAAATAAAGAATTAGATCTGGATTGCAGGATGCCACAGGAGGAAGAGAAATAACCTCACAGAAGATAAAAGAGGAAAGGGACATACAGCAGAGAATGAGGCACAAATATTTAGGAAGGAGCAGAGGACAGAGTACAAGTAAAGGAAAGATATGTACCATGAGCACCTGGCATAACCAAGGAGAGAAGTGGAGAAATGGCAGAAGATTGAAACAAAGGAAAGGAAGAGTTATTGCACAAGGCAAGACAAGAATAGCATAATGAAATAAAAATATTGGGAAATTAGGCAAGAATGGAGAGGAGCATGAAAAGAAAGGAGAAATGAGGCGAGATAGGGCAAGGACTTGCGAGGAAATTCCATTTTCTATCCCGAAGTCCCAAGTCCTGCAGTATATCCTTACAGTATGCTGTTTGCATTTTGAGGGCAAGTGATCCATACACATGCAATCCTAACTTCACCAGTCAGCTACTTCACAGTTTGGAGTTCAGCCACTGAAAGTCTTCTATTTACTACTGCACTTTACTAGCACCTTCAGAAGCTGTCTCTTCCACAAAGGATGCTCTGACCCTTCACTACTTTGCTTCACAGCTTGCCAGGGCTCCTACCTCAGCTTTGTGCTCCTGTCACACTGTCTTCCCAGGAAGCCTTAGAAATCGCTAATGATGGTAGAGGGTGAGAGTTTCTCTGGTGTAATTAATGGAAGTGTGAAAAAGCCTGCTGGGCTGGACAGGCTGGAGAGGTGCCAGTTACTGAGGGCCAGATTCAAGTCTCACTGGAGGCAAAGGAAAAACTCCAGTACGTTTTGCAGGTTTTGGATGGGGGCTCAGATGCACAGTGGGAATGGAAAAATTCAAATAAATTGTATGATTGTTTCCCAGTTAGTCTTGGATAACACCTGCAGCAAAGCCTGGGCTGCAGAGCTGGCATGGAGCTGCTGTCATTTTGTGACAGATAAAATAAGGTGCATGGAACCAGACAGTCCCCAGAAACAGG